GAGAGAGGGGTTAATACAGACACACTGACTGGACACTCCAGTACATTAACACTGCACTGAGAGAGAGAGGGGTTCATACAGACACACTGACTGGACACTACAGTAAAGGTTCACTCCTCAACTCTCCTAGAATCACAGGAGCTACAGGGTCCTCTAGGTGTCTCAGCACCTGTGTTCTGACTTTCAGCAACTCTGGAGCCTTGTCTTTAGTACTCGGACCTTCCTGACTCTCCTGCTTCCTCTGCCTCTTCTTCCTCTTCTTAGTCTTCTTCACCTCAGTCTTCTACTGAGAGGTGATGGGAGGGAGGTGATGGAGGGGTCTGTGGACAGGCAGCTGGCTGGACAGTGGGGCAGTGACCTGGGACGGGTCAGTGTCAGGATTGGAAGAGGTGGACATGTTGTCCTCTTCATCTTTTCAGGGCTGACTTGGAAAGCACGCCTCTTTGCACCTGGACACTGAAGACAGACACAGGTCTTTGCTGCTGGGGTCAGTTCTTGACTTCTTATTCTTAATATACCCTCAGTATATGCATTGTGACTGTAATAAGATCCTGTACAGGTGAGTCTGTACAGTGTGTCCAATAAGAGTCTGTACAGTTGACTCTAAACAAGGACAGAGGTTCTGTTCATCTCACCTGTTTCTGAATCTCAGGAGCTCTGATGTTCCTCAAAGGAGAGGACTCTTTCGGGGGTTGATGGGGCGGCATGGAGCAGTCGGCAGGGAGTTTAATGAGCTCAGGGGGGTCACAGGTGAGTGAAGAAGGAGGGCCCAGGGGCGCCGAGGTCCAGGAAAGGAAGGGGTGGACAGCTGGTTCTCTTTGAAAGCCTCGTCCACCTGGATAATGTGCCTCCTGGGCTGTGGAGGCTGAAGACACACAGAAGACCTTCCTGTTCCTGCTGAGTCCCACAACAGGTCAGACTGTCCTAAGACTACTACAAAGAGAAAAAATAAACCTGCTTTTCACAGATCTCGGTCACAGCGTCTCCCAGGTATTTCTGCAGGATGAGGTCGACATCGACGTTGGCTGCAACCTGGTGGAAGCACTTGTCCACCTCGGAGAAGTCACACCTGACCTTTGTGTTTTCGAATTAGGACTTCAGTGTCTCCTTGTGGTCGTACTGCTTCATGATTCCTGCGCTCTGGAAGGGAAAATCCTGGGAATAAGGGGAGTGAGAAACAGGCAAGATCTCCTGACCAGGTCTGCTGCTGTCAAACCAAACCTCCATTATCAGAGCTCCCGTCGTTTTGCCTGTTGTCTTCACTGTTTTAATTTTGGGATTGGGTCAAATTTCTTATCATCTCCTCCATGAAACTCCACTAACTCAGTACCAACTCCTGTACCACAGAGGGAGAACAAGGACAGTGAACCATCATCATCATACCTCTACAGCGCCAGACAGGAGATGCAACCTAGGGGTGGAACTGTGGTGTCTCTAAAGCCAAAAGAGGGGGGGAGGTGGGTCACCCCACTGTTTATAGAGCCTATGGAGAATTGGGAAGTCTCCCCACTATTAATAGAGCCCCGCTGTTGCCATCGATGACCTAGAGTCTCACCACCTACTCTATGATGCCCCCTAGTGTTGATCTGTAAGCAGTGTGTCTTTCACCACTTGATATAACAGCAAGCTGGAGTCCCAGCCCAGCTCCTGTCTCTCTCCCCTTGGATCTGGAAGATTTCCTGGGGACCAGGTTGAGTGGGGTGATAGAGGTA